ACCAGGCCGGCCTTACGCATCTGGTTTATTATAGAATCCCAATTCTACAGAGTGGAATAAAGCCACTGCACCTAATGCCATCATCGAACGTATGACAGATCCGAACGGAAAAGTGGAGAGAGGGGTAGCCAACATTGGGGAATCCATCCTCATGGCATTTGTTTGCTTAAAACTAGTGTAACGAGTCCCAACCTACCACAGTACACCGAAAGCCGTGCTGCTAACTGACGAGATAACTCGGTCTTATCAGGATGGATACCTAGGCTGCAAAGGGTTCCTCTTGCCGCAGTCTTAATGAAAACCACACATACAAGATTCCATCGAAGCATTCAAAACCTGGCACATGAATTCGGAACCAAAGCCACTTCCAGCCTTGACATCGGAACAAAGCGGGTGTAGGGGGGAAAAAGTGAGGTCGATGCTACGAGAGTTTACTGTGCTATCAAATAATTCAAGTAAAAGTCTCTGATGCTGTTAACAGTGACGGTGGTCGAGCAGTATTCCTTACTCAGAGTGATTAGTTTCAGAAACTGGTGCTTCAATCATACCTCAGTTTAGCTGTGTGTATAGCTACTCTAATAAACGTGGTGTTTAACTCGTACAATACCAGAGCGGCGCTGATACCATGCAAACCTAGCACACTGATAAAAGGCGCAATAATGAACATAAAGAAAGCTACTATTCACACCCTGATGCCGACCTTCCATAACTGTCTTCAAGACCTTTACTCACGACAGTGTTAGTCAAAAAAGGCCGTAGAGACTGGACAATTGTGTTGTAACGAATGCCCAGGCCAAGATATTGCCGCCCAATGACGTCCTGTGTGAGACCCCAAAGAGAGAACACGACAAGAAGGGTGCAACGGCAGAAGCCCTTGAGTCTTAGGGGTACAACAAATTTAGGGAAACAAACGTGTGTAAACGATGTCCCTTGAGCCAATCAAATTCTCTTCTGAAATAGTGGCCGGTCCCATTGGCTCTTAGCTCAGTGAGTGACTGTAGTTTGAATCCTGAATTATTGATTGATTTTCTGGCATGATGTGCTAGCTCGCGCATAGGCCGATCGAGAGCCTATTGTGGACGCGGCTACTTGTTGCTTCCATGCTAGCCGTTGGGCCCC